CTGCCACGGTCCCTCTCTCTCATCCCTATTGACCATTTTGACACACGGATCGCGCAACCTATTGGCTGCGTTCAGCAGAGAAAGCAACTTTGCAACTGTTGTAAAATTCTTAAATATGATTGGTTTATACATTTAGATTCAGTGAGGAACTAAGGGCAAGACCAATCATATTAAAGAATTTTACAACAGTTGCAAAGCTGCTGTCTCTGCTGAACGCAGCCATTCTCTATGGCTTTGGATTGCAGCGCAGCGCACCGAAAGTTTTGCCGGAAAGAATTGTCCTATTTACACCAGTGTGCACTAATGTATACTGAATTGCACTGAATTTACACATGTCGCACGTGTATATTTTACGTTCGGTGTATCTACAGAAATACGTAAAAATACGTTGTTTCCGATTCAATTAAGGTAAATAAAAATATTTATATGAAAGGTGTATAAATTTTGTGAAACAATTTTACTTATAATCAGCATGATAATTGTAGAGACCTTTATTGACTGTTTGTTTCTGTAAGAGGTTATGTCTTTCCGTGGACGAGGCGGTAGAGGAGGAGGTGGTTTTAGAGGTGGTCGAGGAGGCGGAGGATTTAATAGAGGACGTCCTGGTTTCGACAAGAGCAGAGGGTAATTTTATGAATATTGTAATAATAATTTGCATAAAATGCGTCAAACAAATTTATCGAAGATTAGATTAGGTCACAAATAAAATTCCAAGGCATTAAATGTTTTGCTGCAATTTATTGTAGGTATGATCAAGGTCCTCCAGAAACAGTAACGCCATTAGGACATTTTACATGGACGGTAGAAAATGATTTAGTTCTTAAAGTCGACATCGAACAGATACCCTTTTTTAATGCTCCAATTTACACAGAGAATAAACAGCAGATTGGGAAAATAGACGAAATATTTGGGAATATTCGGGACTACTATGTATCTGTTAAATTATCAGAAAATGTTAAAGCTTCTAGCTTCCAGAAGGATGTTCAGGTATTATAACATTAAAATTAGATAAAAACATTCATATATAAATAGCTACTAAGTATTTAAAAAAATTTTAAGGGATGATGCCTCACACAAATTCCTCACGAAAATTTGAAAAAGCTATTTCTCTGAAACAGCTTAGTAGCAAAGATACAGAGTGTCAGAATTAAGGAAAAATTTCATACACTACTTGGGTTATTTTATTGAATCTTTGCACACACACACACTCTCTCTCTCTCTCTCACACACACACTCACTCACTCACTCACTCACTCACTCACTCACTCACTCACTCACTCATTCACTCACATACACAAAGTTTCATCAAAATAACGAATGATTTTCGAAATTTTTAGAAAAAAAACATTTTTCTTTCAACACTGATTTCTCTGACACTGTATTTTTGTAACTAGCTGTTTCAACTATGTTATCATATTAAGTTTTCATCTTGAATTATATGTGAGAAATTATTTCTTAAAATCTTTTAGAGTACTTAGTGTATTCACCCTATATATTTTATAGCGAAAATTTGGTCACTTGTACTACACTAGATTAGTACATACTAAAAGCTGCTATATGTAAAATTAGCCAAATTAAATATAAAGATAAACAAATATTTTAAATGATCGACTACTTACTTAATAATGATATTGTCACGCTATTTAACAGAATGTAAATATATTATTTCATTGTCAAAATTGATTGAATTATGCCACTATATTTAGATGGTTCATATAAAACAGTCTTTAATGTATAGTTAATCCAGTATAGTTTGAGACCAATTTCATCATTATTGAAATATGATTGCATTCCATTATTCACTGTGAATACCGAAAATCTATAATATATATAACATGAATTAAATTTTTAGTATTCGCAATGAATAAACGCACTCATGAGTGTCTGTCTTATAAAATCTAAACATATGTGGGATGAGAATTGGGATCAAACCAACAATTACAAGTCGTCTTCATATGAAGTCTCTCTCATACATTATTCCAAAAATATTTGTATACGAATTCTATGTCATTGTCTGTTGATTATAGTTGTATATCGACCCAGCAAAGCTGCTGCCTCTTCAGAGGTTTTTACCAAAACCTCCTGGAGAACAGAAAAGAGGTGGTGGTGGTGGCAGGGTCATGAAAAGAGGTGGTGGAGGCAGAGGAGGAGGTAGGGGCGGCGGCAGGCCATCTTTCGGAAGAGGAGGAGGCGGTGGCTTCGGAAACAGAGGTGGCAGCAGTGGAGGATTTAGAGGTCGCGGGGGAGGCGGTGGATTTAATCGTTCCAATTCAGGTGGAGGTCGAGGAGGGAGAGGAAGATGGTAGATTTAAAATTAATATTTTAATGTTAGAATAATATCTTATGTACTATAATGATAAATATTGTAAATGACAAAAAGGATTAAATATTTTGTACAATTTACTCGGTTAATCTTGTCAAATTTTCTTTAATGATTTCAATGTACTAATAGCGATACTATTATTTATATACATGTACATACATATACACAATATATGTGGACTTATATGAGAACAATTTGAAAACTTCGTAGTCTAACAATGAAAGCATACATTTTTAGGTTTTAAATTTTATTTTCTAATATGGTGTCCCTCAATTTTAATGCAATGCTTTTATGCATTGGAACATATAAGGTTTGCTCGCGTTGCTTGAAATTTTCAAAAAATGTTTACACTTAAATGAGATTTAAGATCTGTTTATTCCTATTAGACACATACTGTACATATATTGATAGTATTAGACTGCACTGAAACTCTTTCTCACTTTCACGAAATATCAAAGATATTGATCTTACTTGTAAGTTCCAAAAATATATACTATTTCAGTCATAGAATACACTATATATTCGACATAAAGCTTATATATTGATTTTGTATATCAGACCTGAAGCCAGGTTACACATATCAATCGATTTTGCCAACCATCATCCTTACTCCTTTTGTTTCATAGGACTATAGGACTTTGAAACATATTGCCCCGCGTTCACTGTTTACAGTTTTATTATTATTATTATTTGAATGTTAGAAAATCAAAAGCAATTGCGATTTTTTTAATACTTCGAAACCAGTTCCATGTTATGTATCGACACCGACGAGATACTATTAGAGACCATCAACTCTGGGCAAATTTTCGGCGGTATAAAAAGGGCTCCAAGGGCCCGGAAGTAATTGAAGAACGCTGACACTATCGGCAATTGATATAAATTTGCTATTATTAATATAAATATTTGGTTAATACATTATTAAATTCATGATTTTTTTATTATATAAATGTTCCATAAATAAATATGCACATTTGTAAAGCTATAATATCCTATGTATTGCCAAAAAATTACAATTTTTTCTGTATAGTTATTACCTCTGTTGATAATCAAACTTTGACGATAACACTGAAATCATAATTTTAAAGAAAAATCGAATATTGAGTTTTACATGCATGTATACCGATAAACACGTCTACAGAATTAATAAAATATAAAATTAGTACAGTATTATCAATTTTTTATTCTTAATCACTTCAATACTAACAAGGATGTGAACTCCCGTAAGGACGTCAGTCTTTAATAGTATCTTGTTGGTGGTATCGATCTTATATAAGATCTATGACATTCAAATGTTAGAAAGAGAAAGCAAAGAAGCTTAATATGTAGACTGCGAGTAACGCGGACAAACCTATAGATTCACAAGCATAAAGCGTATGTGAACGGATTAACGCTTGTTTTATCACATCACAAAATGATGTGTACCAGCACCCTTATGAATTAGATCGCAAAGTTTTCAAATTGTTCTCGTACTATAGCAAGCATCTCTATCGAACACATCGTTAACTGACTAAAGCAAAATAATATTCTCATTGGTGATACACTGGAGAAGTTACATCGGCCGAAGTGAGTGGATGAGTTCAACTGGGATGTATGCAGTTGGGACGTATGTGTACATATACTTGATTAAGCTTAACTGAATTATAAAAAGTTGAATAATACCATAAGCTAATCTTAATCAAACTTTATACATTTCCCAAGTTCTTTCTCTGCTCGTTTGAGCAATTTATCACGCCCCCTTTGCTTGACTCTTTTCTTTTTACTCAACTTTTCCATCCTATCTTCCGCTATCTTGTCCCAATATAATTTCTCTTCATCACCTGGAAAATTAACGCATAAAGTTGGTAACAAATATATTGTTCGTAATATGTAAGATATACCTTCTAAAATAGTTAAATGTCTTCCTTCGTAACTCTGCTGTGCAAATGTTTGCGCAGCTTCTGCTGTATCGCATCTTATATAGGCTTCACAAGAATCAGCTATTACATCTACATATTTTATAGAATTGTTGTCTTTTAACTCCATCTGAAATTTTAAATACACTTTATATATATATATATATTTTTTACTCAAATACTATCAACTTTACAGAAAAACTACACAAGAGACAAAAATTATTTATTTTCTTTTCATAAAGTTGTGAGAATTTTGTCAGAATTTTTTAATAACGTATTTTCTCACGTTGATAAAAATAAGAAAATGCAGTATTAAAAAGTTGATAAAAAATTCTGAAAAAAATCTCAAAACTTTGTGAGAATAAATAATTTTTGTCTCTTGCAGTTTTTCTGTGAAGTTGATAGTATTTGAGTAAAAAATTATTCAAGACCAATATTTTGCAATTTTTAGTAATTAATATCTTGTTAACTATTGCGAAAACTGCAAAATGGTAGAGGACTTTTCGACTCAGTTTAGTCCCTGTATATATATAATACCTTACACTTATAAAATTCTTATTAAAATTAAGGATACATTTAATTAAATTTTTTTTTTAATGATATGAATGTACCTTGAAACTTTGTGTATCTGTGCAAGGCTCATCCATTTCAATTTTTACTATAATTCCTGGCGCATAATTAACGCGTCCACAAGACTTTTCTTCAAGTGTTTCATTATCGTTTTCATGTTTTAATTTATTATGCAATGTATTAGTCTGACCAGTTTTGTCGTGGTATCCATTTTTTATAATTCCGTCTCGTTCCACCTCAGCTTTTCTCAAATGCACTTTTAGCTGTTTCATTTTATATCGTTGCAAATCTAAATATCTATTTCTAAGACGCTTCCAATCTGATTTTGCCATTATTTGCAATCCTATTTTACTACAAATATCATTGTCCTGAATTTTACTTCTCTTTTTCCTATTCTTTTTCTTCTTTCTTTCATCACTAGTTTCCTCGATATCGCTATTTCTTGCGCCGAAATCGCTTGTGGAATGTTTTTCAATTTGTAATAGAGCACTTGCCTCGTCGTTGTCATCGGCTTCATGTGAATATTCCAATTCTGTTGTTTCATTTTTATTTGAATTTATCGCGGATTTTTGACATTCCTTTTTTACTGCTTCTCCACCATTATCTTCTATAGTGATTATATCATTTATTGTAAGTCTTCTCTTCTTTTTTTCTGTAACTTTATTGCGATTTTTATTCGGAATCTCTTTTTCTATACTATTTCCAGTGACTTTGCTGTTTCTTTCGTCTTTAATATATGACTTTTCTGGAACAAGTTTCCTTTTCTTAAGGCTTTGTCGACCATTATTACCTGCTGTATCTGTTTCATCATCGTAGACATTAGTCTTATCTTCAGATTCTTCTTTTGGCACCATTTCTTTCTCGTCTTGTTGATTTATTGTACTTCGATCTACAGTTTTTCTCCTTTTTTTTACTTTAACATCACTTTCATCTGCAACAAGCGATTTTTCCAGTGCATATATTTCTTTCTTTGAACTTTGTCTATCATTATTATATGCTACATCATTGTCACAAGTATTATCCTTATCTTTAGATTCTTCTTTTAATACTTTTTCTTTTTCATTCTGTTGATATGTTATATTTTGATCTGTGGCTTTTTTCTTTTTCTTGACTTTAATATCTTTTTCTTGACTTTCATCTGGAACAAACAATTTTTCCGAAGAATATTTTCTTTTTTTAAATTTTTGTTTGCCATTGTTATCTGTCGCATCTGTTTCATTATCAAGAGTATTATTCTTGTCTTCAGATTCAGATTTTGATATTTTCTTTTCTTCATCTTGATCTGTTATATTTTGGTCAGCAGCTTCCTTTTTCTTTTTCTTAATTTTAACATCGCTTTCGTCCATAACAGATTTTTCCAAAGATTTTCTTTTTTTAGAATTTTGTTTGCTAATATTATCCTCTGTATCCATTTCACACATATTATCTTTAGTCTCAGTTTCTTCTTCTTCTGTCGTCAGTCTCTTCAAACGGAGTCCTTTACGGCTAATATTTCCCACTTCTTCATTAAATGTCTTTTCATTTTCATTATCTTTCAATTTTATCTTAGTTTTTGAATTTATTACTTCAACTACTGCATCTTTATTAGGTTCATCAAATGTCGTTATACTTAATAACTCATTGGGAGATATATATGATGGCAAAACACCTTTCTTTTTCCGGAATGTCTGTAAAATAAAATATTAAACTATATCATGTCACTAACAAGTAAACCTACCTTTGTGCGACTCGCCGATTTCATTGAAACTTTGCTTGTAGAGTAGGCAAAAATAATAGATACGTATTTTTTTTTATCGGCAATGGTCAACATTAAAGGGGTGAAATCGACCCCCAAAGTTGAGGGTATTAGGGCATCGTCATGATGTTTCACATAAAAGTAATGTACCGATTAACACGAAACTATTACAAAATGTTTTTTATGTTAGATAGTAAAGTTTACATGTCCGACTTTCCATGCACCCTTGTTGCGGGAGGTAAACCACTCTTCTCGTAAGGAATAATTGTTATGACGAATTGCATATCATTATTGTGAAAATTATAAACAATAATTTCAACGATTAAAAATATACATAAAAAATAAACGAGTTAAAAAAGATATTAAAAAATTTAATTCAAAAAATTTCAATTAAAAAAAATATTAAAAAATAAAAAAACACCAAAAAATAATAGTGTTCTGCTTTAGCTTTAGTTTTTAGATAGATAGATCAGACTATAGATAAAAATGTTAATAGACTTTCGTCACCCATTCGTCATAACAATTATTCCTTACGAGAAGGGTGGTTTACCTCCCGCAACAAGGGTGCATGGAAAGTCGGACATGTAAACTTTATTATCTAACATAAAAAACATTTTGTAATAGTTTTGTGTTGATCGGTACATTACTTTTATGTGAAACATCATGATCACGATGCCCTAATACCCTCAACTTTGGAGGTCGATTTCACCCCTTTAATGTTGACCATTGCCGATAAAAAAATACGTATCTATTATTTTTGCCTACTCTACAAGTGTGCAAAGTTTCAATGAAATCGGCGAGTCACACAAAGGTAGGTTTACTCGTAATTGTGATGGAAATTATAACTATCATCTTCCACATCTGTACCTATAAGTCTTATAATTATATTCGCGTTACTTGAAATCCCCTAAAATTTTTGAACTTAAAATGAGATAGACAGGGTAACTCCGGTATATACATCGCACTTATCAAAAACTTAATTTATTAAGTATTATTTACTATGTTTAAAATAAACGAACTATAATCAGTAAAAACTTTGTGCTGTCTACTACTATGAAAAAAATATTAGAAATCCGAAATATTTAGTTTTCGTATTAAAAAATAAACTTTTTGAAATATATATCTTGCATTTTTGCTATATATATATAAAGGGTGGGATATATGGCAAAAAATGCAAGGGTTTCAACAAACTAAACAAAGAATACGAAAGCAAAGTACTTGTATTTTGCTATACAACATGCTTTACTATTTCTCTACATGTATGTATCACGAAATAACCACTAGGTCTTTGACACGCCTTACAGTAATCATTTTATGTAGATTATAATTTATGATGATGCTACTTATTACACACACAGTGACAAATTCGATTCAACTCACAATAATTTCATTAATATTAACAGTAAGAAGCTGAAATTATAACTCAATATTAATATAAAAGCATGTAACAGAGTAGTTGCGAAAAAATTACCCCCACTCCTTCTATTTTCTCTGACTTCCGCGGCGTATATACCAGAGTTACCCTATACATTTGGACGTTGAAAAGAAAGCGAAGATGCTAAGTGCAAAAAGTGCATGCAACGCGAACCGACTTTATATGCGTGTTCGGAGAGACGCTATAGCGCTATTTGTGTCATTCTAACCTTGTTTTACGTCTAATAAACAATGAAGATAGGATGACTGAAATAGCGCTAATAGTATCTCCCTGAACATACCACAAATTAGGTGATTGTTGACAAATACTATTTCTCTTACCTTAATACATTCTTCAGCGCTGCTAGGCTTATCAAATTCCACAAATGCAAACCCTTTTATTTTTCTGTTGATTCTGTAACGTGGAATCGAGACATATTCTACTGATCCGTATTTAGAAAAAATAGATATCAACCAGTCGTGATCTGCATCTGGAGGTAAATTTTGTACATAAATCGTACACTGATCAATATCTTCTTTCTTCTGAATTGGTGTTAATCGACAGACCTTTGTACCATCCTCTGATACCTTCAACATAGTCGATCCCTGTAGAGCCTTAGCTATCCTGTTTGTGTCTGTGGTCAGCTCGCGCAACTTATTAAATCTTGTGAATACTTCAAGGCCCACATCTAAAAGATCAGCATAATTACAACTAGAATTTTGATTTGATATAAGAAAAGGTACATTAAATCAAAGGATTATCTTAGATCAAAGTAAAAATGAAGAAATATTTACAAGGATTTTCTTTCAAAAGTCCTGACAAATAACGATCCTTGTTCAAGTTAGCGTCACTGAAATAAAACTCCATTTGCTTAAGTATCGAGGCATGCAACGCTTTCTTTCTCAGCCTTGGTTTACCACGCGAAACGCCCGGCTTGTTGTTACGTTTAACTGTATCAACTACTGGCTCCTGTATCTGAGGAACCGGTATACTTTCCGAAGCTAATTCCATATCTGATTCCTCCATCACCATTGTATTCTCAAAAGAACATACACCTTCCTAGCAAAATACAGTGTTCACGTACTGCAAGAGGATTTAGAAGTTGGTGTTCGAGTTAATATATATATACTTTGTATTTTATTTATACTCACCAATTGTTTACAATGCAAGTTAGATCACGAAACCTCGTTAAGAAACGCATACAATCTTCTTCTTTTGGCCAATGAATTGCCAGTTTCACTTACAGAAATCGAAGTACCACGCTTCCAGAACACATACAATCACGTTCTCGTTCTAGAATAGTTCTAAAATCTTTTGATTGATGAATAGAGACTTCTTCTTCTTCGTTTTTTGGCTCCGCAACCGGATTGGTTGGAACTGAGCCATTGAGTATCCGCCATTAAGTTGGTATGCTTCAGTTTGCATGAGAGCAGGTGTAAAAGAATCTGATAGGGGGAACAGACCCCCCCCCCCTATCCGGGCGCCTGCTGCCATCCAAAGGTGGTCGCGTATCATGGGGGAGAGGGGACTGTCAAAAGAAAAGATCAGGGGGTCTATTCTTGAAACGAAACGTATACGAAAGTCTAGGAAAATACTATAGTATACGTAACGTAGCATTTTCCTAGACTTTCGTATACGTTTCTTTTCAAGAATAGAGCCCCAGTTTTATCAATGGAACATTAAATACTGAACTAGTTTTCACAGTGGAACAATTAGAGATGGGCAATGTACAAGGAAAGCATCGATTCTATAATAATCTATTATGATCCAATCCGATTTTTAATTAACCGATTCATCGTAAAAGAAAACATCGATGTTGTAAAATCGATGATTTAGAAAAAAAACTGATTACTAAATTTTTTTTTCTTATTACAATTTTTAGAAATATATTGAATTACAATTTTTTAAATGATTATTATTACAAAATAAAAGAAAAAATAGAGTATCTACAATTTTATGTACCCCCACAGAAAAAAAATTTACTTGTTTCAAGTAAACACATTTTCTTGAACTATAATTTATCGATCAAAAGAATTAATTACTTGCCACAATAAATTTGTTTTTTGTTCCAATAAAATATTATCCTGAAGCAAATAATTTATCAATGAAGAAAATATTTTATTCTAATAAAAACACAATTACTTGTCAGTAGAAAATTGTTTCATTAAATCTAATAAATGTCATTACTTGAATCTGATTGTTGTTAATAACAGAACATTTTTCTGAAATTTATGACATGAGTATAAATCCGGATCTACAATAGGTGTTTTATGCCTTATGCCGTAAGAAACTGACCAATTACAGTCGAATCCGAGAAGAATAAGCAACTGTGATTCGCCCATTTCTTATGGCTTAAGGCTTAAAACCCTATTGTAGATCCGGGGTTAGAAATCGTACATTGATTACTTTTTATAAAATATAATTTTTATTTCGGAAAGCAATTTCTTGGTTACCAAAAATATTTACTAGTAACGAGAAAATTGTTTCATAAATTAATTAAATGCCTGCTAGAGACACTGCCTCTCTAGTCTCTAATAAATCTAGGACTCTAGGATAGTTATATCTTTGGGTAGATCAATGAGGGCCAACCATAATCGATGTCATTAAAAAAAAAGATCGATGTACCGATTAATCGACTTCTGAAACATCGAATCAATTGTTGAGCGGGAAAAATCGATTTTTGTATAATCGATGAAACATCGCCCATCCCTTGACAATTGCACTCAGTGCGCACCAGTGTTGCACCAGTTTTCCCAGTGGAAAACGCTATTATAGCGTTTTCGGCCCGATCGGGTTTGCACCAACCTGGGTTGGATTAATCTTTCCTATTGGTTGATGTCACACGCTCTACCAATAGGAGAGCGC